GTCACTGACATGGAGCACACGTGCCCTGTTGACCAGGACTCCTCTGAGTGGGCAGGTGGCATCAGGCAGCCCACACACACGCCCCGTTGACCAGGACCCCTCTGAGTGGGCACAGCCAGGGCCTGGTGGTCTGGCCGCCAGCACTGCCTCCACTGCCTGGACCGTGCTTCCCAGATTCTCCTGGCAAGCCTTCCACGAGCACAACTGAGATGAACTGGTTCCCAGGACCTCCCTACGGCCCCTTCCTCAGAAGAAAACAGGCACAGAGAGGTCAGTGGATGCCCGAGGTCACCTGGGATTGCACCGGGCAGTCGCTCAGAGCCCACGCCCCGCCCCCACCCCCCCAGCAACGGCTCCCTGGGAGGAAGACCCCACAAACTCGAGCGCCTCACCTTCTGTCTGAGTCGTGTCACCAGCAGGTTTAGGAGCTGCACTCTGTCCCCGAGCTTCCTGAGTGCCAGTCCGGAGGACACTGGGCCAGCTTGGACAGACCCTCCTGCAGAGAAGAGTGGCTTCTGTCAGCTCAGATCTGAGAACGAAGGAAGGCCTTTCAGGGGAGACACACATCTCTATCAGCTCTCCCTTTCCCATGAGGCCATGGCACCAGCGGCTGACCCCAACGCAAAGCTGTTGTTCATTGGAGTCAGCAGATCTGAGTCCACATGAAGATTAGAGATGCTGTACAGAAAGCATAATCCTCACGTAAAGAAAGCAAGAATCCTTGTAGGAAAAAGTCTGACCTTACCATGTAGTGTCTGATAGAGACCAGTTGCTCCAATCTGTCCAAATAAAGAGCCACTTATTTAGAAATTGAGAAAAAAGATGCCACATAACACAGGGTCAAAGAAAAAAATCACAATGGATATTAACAACTATTTTGAATGGAAAGATAACAACAATACTACTTTAGAAACTTCAGGAATGAATCTAAAGCTGTCCTTCCAAGAATAATTACAGCTTTAGATAAATATTTTAGAAAAGAAGAAAGGCTGAAAACCAGTGAGCTAAACATTCATCTCAAGAAATTAGAGAGCCAGGCGCAGTGGCCCCTGCCTGTCATCTCATCACATTGGGAGGCTGAGGCAGGAGGATCCCTGGATCCCAGGAATTCAAGGTTACAGTGAGCGATGACTGCGCCACTGCACTCCAGCCTGGACAGCAGAGCGAGAGCCTGTCACACACACAAGCAGAAAAATAAATTTAAAAAGAATGGCCAAATTAAAGCCAAATAGGGCTGGGCATGGTGTCTCACGCCTGTAATCTCAGCACTTTGGGAGGCTGAGGCGGGCAGATCGCCTGAGGTCAGGAGTGGGAGACCAACCTGGCCAATGTGGCAAAACCTGTCTCTGCTGAAAAAAAAAACAAAAATTAGCCTAGCGTGGTGGTGTGCCCCTGTGGTCCCAGCTACTCAGGAGGCTGAGGCACGAGAATCAACTGAACCCGGGAGGTGGAGGTTGCAGTGAGCCAAGATTGTGCCATGACACTCCAGCCTGGGCAACAGAGTGAGACTCTGTCCAAAAAAAAAAAAAAAAGCCAAATAAAGTAGGAGGAAGAAAAGATAACATCAGTATTAGATATTGAGGAAACAGAAAATAAATGTATAATAGAGAATCAACAAAACCAACAGCTGATTCTTTGAGAAGGCTAAAATAAACACCCAGTAATACTAAGCAAGGAAAAAATAAAAGCAAATGACCAATATAATTAATGGCAAAAAGGAGTTATCACTTCAGACCCCACAGACATTTAAAAACTCATAGGATACTATAAGCAACTTTATGTCAAAAATTTGAAAATTTAGATGAAATGGACAATTTCTTAGTAAATATAACATCAAAAATGTATAAAAAAGAAAATCTGAATGTCCTATAACTATGAAAAAAACTGAATTCACAATTTTAAACCTTCCCACAAGGAAAACTCCAGGCCCAGCTGGTTTCAAAGTTGAATTATACCAATTATTTAAGAAAAATTAAGATAAGTCTGATACAAACTTTTTTAGAAAACAGAAAAATAGAGAATACTTTCCAACATATTTATGAGGCCAGAGTAACTTTGATTCCAAAACCTCACATGAACATTACGAGAATTGAAAATTATAGGCCAGTCTTACTCATGAACATAAATGTACTAATTCTCAATAAAACACGGGCACGGGCAAACCAAGCTGGGCCTGGTGGCTCGCACCTGTAATCCCAGCTACACGGAGGCCAAGGCAAGAAGACGGCCTGAGCCCAAGAGTTCAAGAATAGCCTGGTCAAAGAGCAAGACCGTGTCTCATATAAACAAAAAACAAAAGAAGTATCAGCAAACCAAATCTGTCAAATTATAAAAAGAAGAATCTATCACTACATGTTGAATTCTTCCTGGAACTGCAAGGGTGGTTTAACACGATGGAGACCCTGCAGTCCACCCCCATTTTCCCCCACTAATCTCAGCTAAAGGCCCAGCCAGAACACAAAAAGCCCCACTAGAGGAAGATTCTGAACGGTGAGAAACAAAGCCTGAGCGTCTAGGGGCCTCAGATCCCAGGGATGGCTGGCAGGGAGTCCCTCGTCTCCTTCCTGCACACACTGGCCTGGTGCTAGGCAGCCACAACCCAGAGCTCAGACCAAAAAAAAAGGCCGAAGAGAAGCTGCTCCTGGGACCAATGGAGCAGGAAGACGGGGACATGCAGGTGGAGCCCTTGGGACCACACCTGCCCTCCTGCCAGCCCACGGTCCTGCAGCCTGGTATAGACAAAGGCCATCTCAGCTTCTGGGAGAGCATGTGGGGAGGGTCACAGGAGGAAGAAGGTCTACATGAAGACTCCTGAGGATCCGCTGTGTAAAACCAGCCAGAATCAACAGAACCAGCACAGCAAAACCTCTGACAACTGGGCCTGGCGGGGGACACTGCCCAGGATTTAATTGGCCACTTGGTAGCTCACGTGTGGGCAGAGTAAAACAGCATCATCAAGGCTCTGGAAAGTAACGGACATTCAAACCTCAGCCCACCAGAATGGGCCAGGATATGCAGTGTGAACCCAGAAAGGCTGACTTATCTGATACAATAAATGACAGAATTAACACAGGTTTAGTAAGAACCAGAATTTCATAATGTGACACTCAAAATGTCCATGATACAGTAAAAAATTACAGGAGGCTGCCTGTAATCCCAGCACTTTGGGAGGCTGAGGCAGGAGGATCACTTGAGCTAAGGAGTTTCAGAACAGCCTGGGCAATATAGTGAGACCCCATCTCTAATTAAAAAAAATACTCGTAATATTAACAACCAAGAAAATCTCAATGCGAATGAAAGAGACAACACCAAGATGACACAGACATTGGAATTATGGGGTAAAGATGTTAAAGCAGCCGTCATAACAATACTCGAGCAAGTTACTGGGGAGGGCGGAGGTGAGAGAATTGCTTGAAGCCAAGAGTTTAAGATCAGCCTGGGCAACATAGTGAAACCCCATCTCTACCAAAAAAAAAACAACAAAAACAAAAAACACAAAAATTAGCTAGGCATGGATGGTGGTACGTACCCATAACCCCAGCTCTTCAGGAGTCTGAGGCCGGAGAGTCGCTTGAGCCCAGGAGGTCCAGGCTGCAGTGAGCCATGATCATGCCCACTGCACTCCAGCCTGGGTGACAGAGCAAGACCCTGTCTCTAAAAAAAATGAACAAATACACAAACAAAAAACTCTGGCAAGCAATTTAATACACTCTAAAAACATATGGCAAAATGAAAGTTCCAGTAAAGTAAGATATAAAGAAAACTAAGGCCAACTGTGATGGCTCACACCTGTAATCCAAACACTTTGGGAGGCTGAGGCAGGAGGATCAGTTGAGGTCAGGAGATCAAGACCAGCCTGGGCAACATAGTGACACTCCATCTCTACAAATATAAAAAGAAATTAGCAGGGTGTGGTGGTGCATACCTATAGCCTGTAGTCCCAGTTACTCGGCAAGCTAAGGTGGGAAGGTCCCTTGAGCCCAGGGGGTCAAGGCTGCAGTGAGCTGTGACCACACCACCACACTCCAGCCTGGACAACAGAGCAAGGCCCTGTCTCAAAAACAACCACCACAATTAAAAAAAAAAAAAGGAGAAAGAAAACCAAAATGGAAATTTTAGAAACAGCAACAAAAATCTCACTGAATGGGCTTAACAGAAAAATGGAAATGACAAAAGAAAGAACTGATGAACTTGAAGAACAGAGGAAAAGGAACTATCCAATTTGAACAACAGAGAAAACAAATTGAAAAAAAAGAGAAAACACAGCCTCAGGGACCCGCAGGACAGTAACAAAAGGCCAAACGTTTGTGTCCTCAGACCCAGAAGGAAAGACCATGGAGCTGAAACAACACTTGACAAATAACGGATGAAAACTTCTGAAATTTGGTGAAAGACATAAACCTTCAGTTTAATATCAAAAAGAATAAACCAAAGAAATCTATGCCCAGATACAACATAATGAAATTTCTTTTTTTTTTTTTGAGACAGAGTCTCGCTCTGTCACCCAGGTTGGAGTGCCGTGGCCGGATCTCAGCTCACTGCAAGCTCCGCCTCCCGGGTTCACGCCTTTCTCCTGCCTCAGCCTCCCGAGTAGCTGGGACTACAGGCGCCTGCCACCTCGCCCGGTGGCTAGATTTTTGTATTTTTTAGTAGAGACGGGGTTTCACCATGTTAGACAGGATGGTCTCGATCTCCTGACCTCGTGATCTGCCCGTCTCGGCCTCCCAAAGTGCTGGGATTACAGGTTTGAACCACTGCGCCTGGCCTACAACATAATGAAATTTCCGAAAACTAAAGGCAAAAACTCTTTTTTTTTTGAGATGGATTTTTGCTCTTGTTGCCCAGGCTGGAGTGCTGTGGCATGATCTCGGCTCACTCAACCTCTGCCTCCCAGGTTCAAGCGATTCTCCTGCCTCAGCCTCCCAAATAGCTGGGATTACAGGTGCCTGTCACCATGCCCGGCTAATTTTTGTATTTTCAGTAGAGACGGGGTTTCTCCATTTTAGCCAGGCTGGTCTTGAACTCCTGGCCTCAAGCGATCCACCCGCCTCAGCCTCCCAAAGTGCTGGGATTACAGGCGCCTGCCATTACACCCGGCTAATTTTTGTATTTTCAGTAGAGACGGGGTTTCTCCATTTTGGCCAGGCTGGTCTCAAACTCCTGACCTTGAGTGATCCACCCACCCAGCCTTCCAAAGTGCTGGGACCACAGGCATGAGCCACCGCGCCCAGCTAATGTTTGCATTTTTAGTAGATACGGGGTTTCACCACGTTGGCCAGGCTGGCCTTCAACTACTGACCTCAGGTGATCCATCTGCCTTGGCCTCCCAAAGTGCTGGGATGACAGGCATGAGGCATGAGCCATGGCGCCTGGCCTGTCAACGTAATTTTAAAAGTCAAGTGTGAAAGAGTGTCTATCATATTCACCCTTGCCATTAGTTTTCCTTCACTCCTGACGTTCCTAGTTTCCTTCCTTCCGTTGTGTCTAAAGTACCTCCTTTATCAGTTCTTTTAGATCCAGTCTGATCCAAACTTTTCCTTCATCTGAGAATATCTTTATTCACTCTCATTCCTGAAGAATGTTTTTACTGAATGTATAATTATGGGTTGACAGTTTTTGCTTTCAGTGCTTGAAAAATATTATGCCATTTCCTTCTGAAGAGAAATCTGATGACAGCTGCTGCTGAGAACCCACTGCCGCTCCGGTCACAGTCCCCTGCAGGCCACGCATTGCTCTCTCTGCATGCTTTCAACAGTCTTTGTCTTTAGGCCGGGTACAGTGGCTCACGCCTGTCATTCCAGCACTTTGGGAGGCCAAGGCAAGTGGATCACTTGAGGCCAGGAGTTTGAGACCAGCCTGGCCAACATGGTGAAACCCTGTCTCTGCTAACAATACAAACGCTACCAGCTGGGCATGTTGGCACATGCCTGTAACTCTAGCTACTTGGGAGGCTGAGGCACGAGAATCGCTCGAACCCAGGAGGCAGAGGTTGCAGTGAGCCAAGATTGTGGCACTGCACTCCAGCCTAGGCAACAGAGACTCCGCCTCAAAAAAAAGAAATTCATTTCAAATATAAAAGACAGAGGTAGGTAAAAAGAAAAAGGGATGAAAAAGTTATATCACGCAAACGTGAATCAAAAGAAAGCTTGAGTGGATTAACTAATATCAGACAAGGTAGACCTCAGAACAAAGAACATTGCCAGGATAAAGAGGAAGATTACATAACAATATAAGGGTCAATTATCCTAAAAAAAATAATAATCCTAAATGTATACACATCTAACAACAAAGATACAAAATATATGAAACAAAAACAAAGAATCATTATTTTAAAAATGAAGATCTATATTAAAACAGGAACAGAAAGAAACTTCCTTAACCTCCCTCCACTACCCCCACTGCAAAAAACCTTCAGCAAAAACTAAACCTAAAAAAGTGAAATGCCGAAAGTTCTTCCTCTGGGATTAGGGAGAAAGACAGCGATTATGAATATCACACTGGAGAGTTTAGCTAGGGGCAATAATGCAAGAAGAAGTAAACAATATCCGCATTGGAAAAGAAAAATAAAACCTCCCTTATTTTGTTTTATTTTTTTTGAGATGGAGTCTCGCTCTGTCACCCAGGCTGGAATGTAGTGGTGCAATCTCAGCTCACTGCAACCTCCGCCTCCTGGGTTCAAGCGATTCTCTTACCTCAGCCTCCCAAGTAGCGGGGATTACAGGCGCCCGCCACCTCGCCCAGCTAATTTTTTTGTATTTTCAGTAGAGATGGGGTTTTACCATGTTGGCCAGGGTGGTCTCAAACTCCTGACCTCAGGTGATCCACCCACCTCGGCCTCCCAAAGTGTTGGGATTACAGGCGTGAGCTACCACGCCCGGCCAAAACCTCCCTCATTTGAGACAATCTGTGCCAGTGGAGTGTCCTCTCTGGCCCCTCCCTTTCTTTTCCTGCCTTAGGCCTGCAGGTGGGGCCTGCCTCCCCTACATAAGGGGGACTGTGGCTCCAGCAGGGTGAGGGCATCTGAGGGGAAGGCGGCCAGGCTGGGCTGTCAAGCTCGGTGATGGTGGGGAGGCATCCAGGCAGGAGAGGGGCCTCCAAATAGGGGAAGGGGCTGCAGCAGCAACAGGGGATTGGTTACACCAAGAGGACTCGATCAGAGTAACTGTGTTAGTGAGAATGGGCGAGCCAGGTTTCTCATTGTTGGAAAAGGAAGTTAGAATAACGAAAAAGAATGCTAGAATGCTAGAATGGACCTTTTGATGTTGGACTAACCACAGTGGAATAGATTAGCCTGTGAGTCTGTCTTGAAATGAAGACCATCCATTCACCAAAGACACCAGTGAAGGAATAAAAGGCAAAGCCACAGACTGGGAGGACATACTTGCAACCCATAAAACCAGCGCAAGGCTCATATTCAGAATCAAATACCCTAAAAACAATCTATGACAAAAGGCAGATCATCTAATAAAACATGGGCAAAAGACATGGCCTGGAGCTTCAAAAGAGAGGCTATCAAAAGGCCAATCCTATGGACTGAACTGTGTCCCCCAAAATTGATAGGTTGAAGCTCTAACCCCAAACATGATTGTATTTGGAGACAGGGCCTTTGAGGAGGCAGTTAAGGTTACATGAGGTCCTAAGGCTGGGGCCCTGGACTGTTGTCCTTATAAGAGGAAGAGCCGGGCGCGGCAGCTCACGCCTGTCATCCCAGCACTTTGGGAGGCCGAGGTGGGTGGATCATGAGGTCAAGAGTTCGAGACCAGCCTGACCAACATGGTGAAACCCCATCTCTACTAAAAATACAGAAATTAGCCGGGCATGGTGGTGTGTACCTGTAATCCCAGCTACTTAGGAGGCTGAGGCAGGAGAATTGCTTGAACCTGGGAGGCAAAGGCTGCAGTGAGCTAAGGTCACACCACTGCACTCCAGCCTGGGTGACAGAGCAAGACTCTGCCACCCCTCCAAAAAAAAAGAAGACGAAGAGACACCAGGAGTGAGCACGCAGTGGGGGAGAAGCCATGTGAGCGCGCAGGGGAGAGGGCACGTGAGCGCGCAGGGGAGGAGCCACGTGAGCGCGCAGGGGAGGAGCCATGTGAGCACGCAGGGGAGAGGGCACGTGATCATGCAGGGGAGAGGGCACATGAGCGCGCAGGGGAGAGGGTGCTGTCTGCAAGCCACAGAGAGGCCTCAGGAGGAACCCACCCTGCCAGCAGCCTGATCTCTGACATCCAGACTCCAGAAGTGAGAAAATAAATACCCGTTGTTTAAGCCACCCAGGCTGTGGTGTTGAGTTATGGCAGCCCTAGCCAATCATACACCAATGCACACAGGAAAGATGTTCAATCCCACAAATCTCATGAAATTTGCAAATTAAACCAAAATAGGATGTGCTACGTGTCCACTAGAGGGAACAGAAGGAGCCACTGACCATGTAAGTGTTGGCGCGCATGCAGCACCACGGCTGCCTCGTATGCTGTGGATGGAGTGTAAATTGTAGGGGTGCTTTGGAGAAGAATCTGGCATTATCAAGCGAAACACAGTGCAGGTGTGAAGATGCCAGAGAGAGCACAGGTGCCACAGAATTCCATTCACACCGAAACAGGGAACGCTAACTGCAGTGAGGAGCCAGGGCACGTGGGCTCTGGGGGAGCACAAGGGGCTGCCAGGCCAGATGACACTGCCCCGACGTCTGCAATCGCCTCAAGCTGTGTATTTGCTGTGACTGGACTTTCTGCAGGGGTCAGATTTCAGTTTATAAAGGGACAGCAAGTAGCCCAGTGAGACGCGGACTCTCACCAGTCGTCTCTGTCGAGGTGCGGACACTGGGCTGAGACTCAGCACGAGGTGAGGACATCTTTAAAGGATCCAGCACATCTTCTAGATGCTCTTCCAGAGTTTTAAACTTATGCTTTAGAGTTCGTATTTCTGCTTCAAGGGCCAGAACATAATCTGCCAAAAAAAGCCCAGTGAATATAACACACACACACACCCTTTCGCACCGCCCTCCTGTGAGCACCAGCTCAGGGAGCCAATGCCAGCTCGTGCCCGCTGCCTCACTGTGCCTGTCCTCCTGTCCTCCCCGCACGAGAGCGTCACAGCAGTTTCCACACTCTGTGTGTGTGTCAGACTGAAAGACCTTCCCTCCCCTCACTGGCCAGAGTGTGCCAGCCAGAGACCAGCACAGTCTCCATGCTCTCCAGGAAGGGCTCAGCGATCAGGAGCAAATGTTTCACCTGCTGCAGCCCACGTGCCTCTGTGCAAGGGGCCAAGTCCCACCTGGAGAACGGAAGCTCTGCATCCATCCTGGCATCCGCCCACCCACAGCCACTCGTGGGGTTCCTGGGCATCGGGCAGCCCTCATCAGCTCTGCCACGGACACTCCTCTGGAGGAAAGGCCTGCAGTCCACCAGCCCCTGCTACCAACCCACTCTGGGACAGCGCGACACCAAGTCAGCCCTGGTTCAGGTCTAAAACAGGTTTTTTAAGTGTGTCAAGCAGGTACCCTCATTTTTTCCTTCTACTTTACAAATATAAAAGCTTTTTGGTATAAAACTGAAGATTCCTTCTCTTGGAGAAAAAGCAGTTTTCATGCTTTGAATTTATTACAGAGGATGTTAACTTACAGGACTCTGAAATGAAGCCTCCTTGAAGCCAGTCGAGACCCATGCTCCCGTCTGTCCTTCTCCCTCCCTCTCCCACTTCCCCTCCCGCTCTGTCCCTTTCTCCCTGTTACTCACCAGGAGTGGCGGTGTCTCCCCCAGCCTTTGGGTCAGGCTGGTTTGCATCTGTGCTCTCTGCTGCTGTCTGGGCGGGAGGAGGAATCTGATGGCTTAGAGCCTCCATTTCTTTCCTCATCTGGGCGATCGCGCTTCGCAAGCTCGTGTTCTGCTCTCGGAGCTGCTGGATCTCACTGGATGGAAAGTCTTTACTTATTTCTTCTTCATGCTGCCCGAGGAGCATCTGTCAAATACAAGGAAAAATGACTACAAAAAGATGAACGGTTCCCCAGCTCGTCCTGGCAGGCTGCGCCTCCGCCCTCCCTGCGGCCCTCTCGGGACCAGTCCCCTGCTTGAGCTTGGGCTGTGGTCCCTCCCCATCTCCGGGGTTGTAATATCCCTCCTTTCTGGCCTGACAGAGGTGCAAATATGACACTCAAATTCCTGAAGCCTTCCATACTGTTGCGGTCACTAGAGTGTCAAATCCACAGAGGCAGAAAGTGGAATGGGGGTGCTGGGGCTGGGGGCGGGGAGGGGGAGCCCGTGTTTCTCGGGGACAGAGCTTCAGTTTGTGAAGATGGGAATGTTCTGGAAAGGGTGGTGTGATGGCTGCACCTCCGTGTGAATGAGCTTCATGCTGCTGAACGGTGCACCAAAAAATAAAGCGGCCAGCTGTGCGTTATGTACACTTTAGTACAGTCAAACATCCACTGAATAGGATGAACAGCAGGTTCGGAGCACGCAGAAGAAAAGGTAGTGAATATAAACACCAGGCACCAGAAAATACCCAAACTGAAACTCAGACGGAAAGGGGCCAAAGAAGAAAAAATGAGCAGAGCTCTAAGACCAGAAACAAGCTGCACAAGGAACCAGGAGCCCAGACGAACATAAAGGCAGGAGACGCGTCTACAACAAGGCCAAACACGTTACAAATGCGATGAAAACCGTACATCACAGATGACGAAGCTCAGTGAAGCCTAAGCAGCATAAACAGAAAGAAAATCATACCAGAGAGCATTGCATAATCAAATTGCTGAAAAATCAGCGACAACATGGAAACTCTAAAAGCAACCAGAGAAAAGAGACATGTTACACTCGGGCCAAAGGGCAGGCATAGGGATGACAGACCTCACAAGGAGCCACCAAGGTGGGAGGACAACGAGGCGAGGTGGCTCTGGTGCAGGAGGAGAGACAGGCCCCACCCACCCGGTTCTGGGGTGAGGGAGTGTCCTTCTCTAACCAAAGGTGAGGGCACTTCTGCCTCCGACCAGGAGGGACTCACCGCTATGAGTCTTTCCCTCTGGCTGTGAACAACTAGAACAGCAGACACATTAGAGGAAACACCTGCTTCCAGACACCGGCACAGACCCCGGATACCGGAGAGGGAAACATAGTCCCAGGGCTCTGGCCCAGCTCAACCATGAGTCCAGCCAAGATGTGTGCAGCTTCCTCTTCTGCAGAGCCGCCCTGAGGGATGCAGAGCCTGCTCCCCGCTCCGCACTCCGTGAACACAAGCCTGAAGCAAGACCTGGACCCCTTCCCAGGGTGCTCTGACTCCCTGGCCCACTGGCTCCTCCATGCTCAGCAGCAAGGCCAGCCGGCCTGGGCTCCCAGGAGGAGAGCTTCACACGCCATGCTTAAGGGTGGAGATAATGCGAACAGAACGTGAACCTCAACTGGCAGTTCAGAAACGGAGACAGTAAACTGCCGACTGCAGTGCCGTGATAACACTGGTGAACAACATGAAGGACCATTGGTGAGAAAATTGCTAGGTGCGTTAACGGTGTGGCCACTTGATAAAATATGCAGACATTTAGATTCTGTTTGTGAAGAACTGTAATGACATGGGAAAATATTTGCGGTAGAACCAAAATGAAGAAAGAATTCTCCTGGAGAAACAGTCACATGAGCGGCAGACCACTGAAGGCCGCGCTCGACCTGGCCAGCTACAGACTGGGATACCGAGTGCCCACAGGCTTACCAGGCTCTGTCCTAGGATGCGCTGAGGGTGCTGGCTGCATGACCTCACTGGCTGAGCATTCCCGCCACAGCGGCAAGCAAGGCTCAGAGGGCTCGGCAGTGTGAAAGGAAAATATCATCAAGCTAAAGGGAAAAGTCAAGCTGGGAACTGCTCAGGGCAAACCTGCCTCCCATTCTATTCAGTCACCCTCTGCTCACTGAGGTGAATGCACATCTCACTGCCTCCTTTGGAGAGGCTCATCAGAAACTCGAACGAATGCAACCATCTGTCTCTTACCTACCTATGACCTGGAAGCCCTCTCCCCACTTCAAGTTGTCCCGCCTCTCCAGACGGAACCACTGTTCATCTCACACATGTTGATTGATGACTCACGTCTCCCTACAACGTATAAAACCAAACTGTGCTCTGACCACCTGGGGCACATGTCATCAGGACCTCCTGAGGCTGTGTCAGGGGTGTGCGTCCTCAACCTTCGCAAAATAAACCTTCTAAATTAACTGAGATCTGTCTAAGATTTTCTGGGTTCACACTTTGGTAACCACAGGGAGATTCTGAGTGGAGATGCCTCTGACCTTTGACAAAACTCCTATCAGTACTTGGTACTGGAATGAGCTAACTTTATGGCTCAAACCAACGGGACAATTTGCCGAGGTCTGGGAGCACCCCCTCCAGAGAATCCGATCTCCCCAAATTTGGTCAAGATTTAAAGTTTATTTTGCTGTACGATATTGGCAGAAGAGCTGAAGCAGGGCTTGCTTGTCTGTTAGAGAGCAGTCTTCAGCCTGAGACCCATCCCTAGGTAAGTAACTGAATTGGCATTTGTCTTGGCTAAAGTTAAGACTAACAGCCAGGCTGGGCATGGTGGCTCATGCCTGTAATCCCAGTACTTTGGGAGGCCGAGGCAGGCAGATAACCTGAGGTCGGGAGTTTGAGACCAGCCTGACCAACATGGAGAAACCCCATCTCCACTAAAAATACAAAATTAGCCAGGCGTGGTGGCTCACGCCTGTAATCCAAGCACTTTGGGAGGCCGAGGCAGGCAGATCACCTCGGTCAGGAGTTTGAGATCAGCCTGACCAACATGCAGAAACCCCATCTCTACTAAAAATGCAAAAAATTAGCCAGGCATGGTGGTACGCATCTGTGGTCCCAGCTACTCAGGAGGCTGAGGTAGGAGAATCACTTGAACCCGGGAGGCAGAGGGTGCGGCAAGCAGAGATCACACCATTGCACTCCAGCCTGGGCAACAAGAGCAAAACTCCGTCTCAAAAAAAAAAAAAAAAAAAAAAAAATAGGCCAGGTGCGGTGGCTCATGCCTGTAATCCCAGCTACTTGGGAGGCTGGGGCAGGAGAATCACTTGAACCTGGGAGGTGGCGGGGGTGGTGGTGTGGTGCAGTGAGCCAAGATTGTGCCACTGCACTCCAGCCTGGGCGACAAGAGCGAAACTCTGTCTAAAAACAAACAAACAAACTCCAAAAATTAGCCAGGCATGGTGATGCGCATCTGTGGTCCCAGCTACTTGGGCAGCTGAGATGGGAGGATTGCTTGAGCCTAGGGGTAGGAGGAGATTGCAGTGAGCTGAGATTGCAACACTGCACTTCAGCCTGGGTGACAAAGCGAGACCCTGTCTCAAAACAAATGAGTAAAAACCACATGAATGAAGGACGAGCTAGGAACAATCTTCATACCAGTTAGGATCTGAGTCCTAAGTACACTAGGCTGCCTTGGCACTCTTGGAGGAAGCCCTGCCCATCTAGGCCCTTCATGACAAGCCAAGCCTCAGGCAGAGAAGCGAATCGAACAGGAGAAAATGCGCACCAGCGGCGGCTTTGTGCAGGGAGGTGGGACCAGCAGGGGGCAGGGACTCTCGGGTGGTCTTGTTGCGGTGGTTGTGTTGCGGTAAGGGTGCCTGGGCACACTAACGTGTCGACTGCACTGACCTGTGCTCTCCAGGCCTGCGCATTCTACTGCATGTACCACACCCCACGGAAAAAGAAAAGCCATCTGCAGGCCTAGGGCAGTCCTCTCATGCTGGGCCCTCTGTGCTCGCCCCCAGCCTCCTACAACCCTGCACCCCACTCCCATCTGCCTGTGGACCCAGCTCTGCTCTGATGAGCTGTGACAGCTCAGGCAAGCTCCTCAGTGTCCCTATGTCTCAGTGGACATGGTGCCAACCTCCAAGATGAAATGAGTGGAGGGATGTCAAGGCCTAAGGGCAAACCCTGGCATAGGATGAGTACTTAACTACTGACCACTAACGTCACTGCCCAACAAAATCAGGAGCGGTGATGACAGATTCCTAGCATAAAATGACCTGCTGTGACGGTCCTCAGGCAATACCATAAGAACAAACTCACATGAACGTCTGCTATCTAGTAATATTTGGATTTGGGATTTTTAAAGCTTTCGAACATGAAAGATACAAAGAAGCCTGAGTTCACCTTAACTCTCTCGAGCTTCGGACTTACCCTTGTTTGTGCAACAGGTCATTTAAAAAGAACACAACTGAAAGACTTAACTCCAGTCTTGGTTGGATTTGGGGATCCGGTCCTATTTTCCCACTGCTGCTGTTGAGCAAAGTTTCAAAGAGCAGGCTGGGCACTCTCACCTGCGCCCCTGGTCCGGGGAGCCCATGCATCCTCAGGGCCTGCACGGCCTGGTCTCGTTCCAGAGTCACGGCCTTCAGCACCACCTCCTGCTCCCGTAGCGCCCGCTCTGTCTCCTGCAGCTTGGCAGCAACCTGGGAACAATGCTGGGACTCAGTCCCTGTGTGGATGACGGGGCAGCTCCCATGCCTGCTGAGGTTCCAACAGCACACATAGGTGGGAGATGCTCAGAGCACCAGGCTCCCCACTGTGGCCAGGCCGCCAAACCCTTCCTGCCACCCACACCCCTGGCTGTCCTTGCAGGCCAGCGGGGATCATGGGATCATGCAATGCTACTTAAACCCGAGGCTGGCCAGCTACAGAAACCGCTTATGCAAGAAAGTCAAGGTGGGTGGACGGGCGGGGCGCATTTTTATTACCGTAATTTTTGTTGCTACACAGCATACTGCTCAGTGAGGTTTAGTGTTTTCAAATTTAAAGAACCATTTGGTGAGAACCAGACCCGTCCTGCCCAGCCCCACCTCTGCAGAGGCGCAGAGAAGGCCCCAGACCCTGGTGGCCGCACACACCTGACTTTTTGCCGTGGTCAGACCCTGAATCAGGGCCTCTGACTTTTGGATCTGGTCCCTTTCAATGTCGTCACAGCGGCGCTGCCAGTCCAGGCCCAGCTGCACCTGATCACGCTCCAGGCTCCGCTCCCTTTCCACCGCCAGGGACAGCTGTTGCTTGTACCTAAGGACACGTCCAACCGCCCAGCATTAATGCTTCCCGAGGAGGAAGCATTCCACAAGAAAAGTGGAGGCGCGACGGGAAAGGCAGGGCTGCTGCTGTCCCTCCTGCTCTCGCGCAGCCTGCACTGGCCTGACGTGCTCTGGGTTCCTGTGGATGGGCACACGGGGGTGCCCAATACGAAGATGAGCAGGCGCCAAGGATGGCCGGACGCCGGAGAAAACCCAACACCATGGAGGAGAGGGATGGACGAGGGGGATGCGCACAAAAACAGAAGAACCAGCACGCGGGAAGAGAGGGAGGAAAGCAACAACCTTAAAACATCATAAACTGGTTATGCACAAAGGAACGGAGCTACGAAAGCAAAAGCAGAGCAGGGTGGACCCAGCCACGGGGTGCGCAGGGCTGGGAGAGCCCCTGGAGCGAGCGCAAAGGGACAGAGGGGTGGGAACACAGGAACCCGGGGGCTTCCTCCAGAAGACCAGCATCTTAGATCACAACGGAGGGAGGAAGCCACCCAGGATGTAAAGGGGCAGGTCCGCCAGGACGGGGCGGGTCCGCCAGGACGGGGCGGGTCCACCAGGACAGAGCAGACGCCAGCCTTCAGAGAGCTCTAGAGACCCCACACGCACACAGTAAGGGGAAACGTCACAGTACGAAGGACAAAAGAAAAGTCTACAGGGGAAGAAGAACAAAAACTGGACGGGGACTAGGCCTGACACCAGCAACTCTGGGACAGAAGGCCATGGGGCCACACGTTGGGGGCAGAATTCCAGGCTGTGGGTGATCCTGTGGCGGGGAGAGGTCCCTCCTGTCCGAGGCAGTGACGCAGAGACGGTGGCAAGGCTCTGCATGGGAGGGAGACTCTCCTGCTGGCCTCGTCGCACCGGTAAACTCCAGGGAGTTTGAATGATAGCAATGGAGCCATCATGTTGTGAGAGGGTCCCTGGAGGGGCTGTGTGGCCAGGGCTGAGGACGCCTTTAGGGTGGAGAGTGCCCTGGCTGTCAGCCAGCGAGGGAATGGAGGCCTCGGCCCCACAGCTGCAGGGACTGAATTCTGCCAACAGCTGGGTGAGTCTGGAGGGGCCCTGGGCCCCCAAGGAGAGGCAGGCCCGGCCACCATTGATTCTGCCTGGAGAGACCCTGAGCCGGGAACGGCTGAGCCCTGCCTAGGCCCTCGCCCCAGAACCTGAGATAATAAATGGGTGTTTAAAGTAGCTAAGCTGCTAAGTTTGTGGTAATTTATACACAATGTGTTCTTGTTTTTGTTTAATTATTTTTATGGGTTTTTTTGTTGTTGTTGTTGTTGTTTATACAGAGTCTTGCTCTGTCACCCAAGCTGGAGTGCAGTGGCGTGATCTTGGCTCAGTACAGCCTCTACCTCCTGGGCTCCAGCAGTCCTCCTGCCTCAGCCTCTCGAGTAGCTGGGACTACGGGTGCATACCACCACGCCTAGCTAATTTTTGTATCTGTTATAGAAACAGGGTTTCGCCATGTTGCCCTGGCTGATCTCAAACTCCTGGGCTCAAGCCACCCGCCCACCTTGGCCTCCCAAAGTGCTGGGATTACATGTGTGAGCCACCACGCCCGGCTACACATACTTTTTTTTTCTTTTGAGACTGAGTCTTGCTCTGTCACCCAGGCTGGAGTGCAGTGGCGTGATCTCAGCTCGCTGCAAGCTCCGCCTCCCAGGTTCATGCCATTCTCCTGACTCAGTCTCCCAAGTAGCTGGGACTACAGGTGCCTGGCAACACGCCCGGCTAATTTTTTGTGTTTTTAGTAGAGACGTGGTTTCACCGTGTTAGCCAGGATGGTCTCGATCTCCTGACCTCGTGATCCACCCGCCTCAGCCTCCCAAACTGCTGGGATTACAGGCGTGAGTCAACGCGCCTGGCCCCACACATACATTTTTAAATCCCTGTAACTGCAAAAATAAATAAATCTTTAACATGACACAGCAGCTGTCACCACATCTATCTTCCCACTTCAAACAAATGGGACACTGGGCAGAAAATGGGGCATGGCTTTCACAGAGTGAACGATGAACACACGAGCAGTGCGGGGCCCAGGCCCCTCAGAGAAGGTCCTCGCGAGATGGACCCACTCACCGCCCGGCTTCTCTCCACAGGACCTTCCGGATCCCCACAGGGGCGGTGAACCACGCAGAGCACGGTATTCTTGCTGAGGAGAAGACAAAGATTGGAGTTTGGAGAAGCTGAAGTAGTTGAAGTGGTGAGGCAGAGTGGCAGAAAGGAGGGGATCCTGGGATCTGTGCAGGGATCTCCTAGAAGTTGTGGCTGACAGCCACATGCAAATACACAGGAGAAGCCCACACGGGCTGGACCAAGAGCAACTCGTGGGAACGGAGCAGCCAGCAGGGAGCTCCGTGTGCGCTAATTCCCAGAGCTCGACAGGGCGGCCAGCGGAGCGTCTTTGGAGATCTCTCTCCAGGGCACGCAGTGGGGTCTGGGAGAGTCATGGTGCTGAGTCAGCCCTGGTGAAAAGGCTTCTCTAGACCTGCCCCACCTGCCCTCGCACCGATTTTTAAAAAGTCTCAAAAGGGTCAAGCTGCCATGTAAATACTTAACTGCAGCCAAACAAAAAACACCACAGCCAAATCCAGACACTTGCCAACATCATATTCACCATGTCTGACATCCAGTGAACACTTAACCAGATGGGCAAGGAAGTACAAAAGAAATGTAGCTCTCTCCAGTAGAAAAATCAGCCAATAGAAACAGACTCAGAAATAAAGATATGATGGAATTAGACAAATACATTTAAGCAGCCATTAAAATAAGTTCAGAGATTTAAAGGCAACCGTGCACATAATGAGGAGAGAAATTAAATGTATAAAAAAGTCTAAATATTGCAATATGTGCTGTTTTCTTTCAGTGAATGGAAGAGTTTAACAAAGAAGGAACATTGGAATCAAGAGTTGAGAATGTAAGCCAGGTGCGTTGGCTCACACCTGTCATCTCACCACTTTGGAAGGTCAGGGCAGGTGGATCACCTGAAGTCAGGAGTTCAAGACCAGCCTGGCCAACATGGTGAAACCCCGCTCTACTAAAATAAAAAAATTAGCCAGGTGGTAGTGCGCATGCCTGTAATCCCAGCTACATCTAGAGGCCCTGACCAGGAGATGCTGTACACAGGAAGGGGGAGGTTTGTAGTGGCCTGAGAATTGCGCACTGCACCCTCCCAGCAAACTGGCACAGAGTGAACTCCATCCACAAAAAAAAAAAAAAAGAAAAAAAAGTTGGAAACTTTATCACAACATGATTTCTTTCCTTCACTGCGATTAGTTTAGTTTATTCAGGCAGTATTTCCTACAGACACAAGAGTAATAGTAAATCTAAGTGTGACTTTCTGATGAAAGATGAATATTACAAACTGTTTTATTTCAGTCCAGTGGAAGTATTTAACAAAACAAAAAAAGAATGCTGGAAGGAAGAGCTAAAGACATTATTACATACTATTCAGAAGGTACCATTTTTTTTTTTTTTTTTTTGAGACCGAGCCCTCCTCGTGATCACCCAGGTGGAGTGCCAGTAGCACCATCTCGGCTCCACTGCAAGCCTCTGCCGTCTGGGTTCAAGTGGATGCCTCCCGCATCCAGCCTCCAGAGCAGCGGATTATAGGCACCCCGCCACC